TCACAAACCACTTTTCACAGACAAACCTATGAACTTCATTTCATCAACCTCCTAGATACAGAACTCATGTACTCAATATAGACATTGGATTTATGACACACCATAACCTGCCTGACATCTGACTCCCCAGGTACCTTTCCACTTTTACCTGCTACATCCACCTTCCCCCTGCCCCCCACCCCTCTCCCAGCCTGTCCCTCACCCCCTGACACCTCAATTTACTTTTCCCCGGACGGTCTTTCTGGCCTGCATTGCATGGCAGCCTCTGGCTTCTCTACTATTCCTTCCATCCAGGAAGAGCACACACAAAGCAACTAAATGCTTCCTTAGCCTGACAAAGGGTTTTTAAACCCGAAAGCTTGCTAAGATTTATTTATCCAACTATTCAGTTGGTCTAATAAAAGATATCAGAGGTACTCTTGACTGGTCCATGCTGGGGCCAAGACCCAAAGCGGGGGTCAAAGGGGCAGGGGCCTACCGCAAGGAATGCCCAGAGCAAGAGGCTCAGGATTCTGACTGGCCTGAAGGCGGGGCCAGGGCCTAAGGGGGAGCCAAAGGTCTCAGAGAGAGGACCACAGCTGGAAGGGGTAAAGGAATGCAATCTGCAAGATATGGGCCACAGTGTAACGGGAGGTACAGAGCTGCGGAATGGATGTCACCCCAAGACACCTAAATGGGCAGCCTCCCTCCTGGGAAACATCTAAATCAGGTTTCCATCAAGCCATGGCAGGAAAAAGAGGGGTGGGTGGCTGGCCCAGAAACAGGTGGGTGGGCAGAGATCTAACCAGAACTGGGAAGGCCCCCTGTTACAGACTACCGTCCCTGCTGGTTTCATTCCACTGTGTCTTAACACATACCCAAAGACACACATGTCGCGAGTTTTTCTTTCAGATGTTTGAGGTGCATTTTCCCAGAAACCCCTGCACCTTCCTCCTTGAAACTTGGCAGACATCATGCCCTCAGAAGGGGCTACCATCCCAGCTGTTTTTTGTCCAAATATGCCAAAAAATGACAAAAGTATAGGTATATCAGTGATTCCCCATTACAGTCTATGGCCGAATCACCGAATCTCTCCGAATCAGTGCCGAATCTTCCGAAGCTGATTCAGATGAATCAATGCAGGACAGTGATCCAACTCTTCAAATCAAATCAAATCACTGTCCTCCAAATCAGCTGAATCTGAATCCAATTCGAATACTTCCCAGTTCACACAGGCCTACCCACGACCACTGCTGCCTCTGCATACTACCTACTGTCTGGAATGGAGCAGCAGGGTCAGGAGGAGGATAAAAAGGAGTTGCCAGAGGCAGGGGGAGCTAAACAGTACCAAGGCAGTTGCAGCAGCAGTGGAGGAGCCCCAGTGGGAAGCTATGCATGGTAGTTGGGGCCAGGGCTGGGGCTGGGGCTGGGACTGGGGGTGAGATAGTCATGGGTGTGGTGCAGCATGGGTGTGGGAAGGAGTGCAATGTAGATAGCCCTGGGAAGAAGCAGGCAAGGCTTGGCCCCATGTGGAGTGCTGCAGGGGCAGATGCAGGCTGTATACAGTCAACTGGGGGGCTGAATCTGGCCTGCAGTTGTATTTTGCCCAACCCCGGACTAAGATATTGGGGGAATTAACTTCACCCCATTCATGAAGTACCCAATAGAATGAACCTTCTGGTACCCCTTGAGAGGTATCTTGAAGAGTGTAGTAGCCACACTGCTCTGGTGCAGTGCTTGTCATGTTTCCTAGGAGTAGGGAGCACATGCTATGAGTTTGGAGCAGGCAAGGGGATAGGGTGTGCTTATGGGCACCCCAGCTGGATGTGCTGCTGTTGCTGTGTGGAAATACTGGTAATATTCATGTCACAAATGTGTGTGAACCAGCTCTCTGAACTTAGAAATTCTTCCCTTCCCAACAAATTCCCTGAAGCAGTTGATACCACTAATATCAACATTTTCTTTTCTAAAACAATACAAGAAAATGTATCATTACTCCTTTTGTCTCATCATAATTTCAGATGCTCATTATCCATGGTGCCAAGGGAGATTTCACATTTTGGTGAGATAAAGGATGAAGCAAGTCAGATGTTTAGCTTTTGCAAAGTACTTGAAGAAGAAACACACCAAGATCACCAGCAGAACCAGGGTATCTGAACGCTAACATGCAGGTCTCATTACTGAGAAGTTTCAAGTATACAGAATAAGTGAGAATATGAGACAGTTTTCAGGATCCGTATTTATGTCCTGGCAATGCTGAGTCAGAGGAAAATTCTGAGCTTCTTTTGTACCTGCCATGAGATAAATAGAATTCACCAGATTCTTTTGGAATATTCTGAAATCATAAATGATATATATAGATATATCTTAGTGAGCCTCTATGCTGTATATGTTTCTATTATAAGTGTCACATAATTCATAAGATTCTTGAAAGGGATAGTGAGTTTGATGGTATGTTAGTTCTTGTGTGTCTAAGTCAGTGCTGAATATGAAATGTCTTAAAATATGTGTTTCTGTGCTTGGCTAAGTAAGGACCTTCATGTTGCAAAATACTTTGAAGATGGAAAGGAATCTATACATACACACTGCTAATATTATTTACTATTCCACTAGGAATGCAATAGAAGTATACTTCTGAACAGACTTTGACTTCGTCAAATCTGTCCTTAAAGTAAATGAATGTTTTCTCTCTGCTTGAGTACAATTGAATTATCAATTTTATAAGACAAATTTGTTTATATATCTTGCCCTTATTCCTATGTAAATGCATGGGGATACTGCAAGTTATTTTTATAGTTCACACGAGAGTGTAAACACTTACAGTGATGGTGAAACGTATTTTCCAGTAAGAAATGTCAACATTTTTTTTTCAGACTCCCCCCACCTCAATAAACCTTTTTTATGTGTGGGGGGTGGGGGGGAAGGCAGGGACAGGAGAGAATTGGTTTAAAAAATCTGGTTTTGATAGACCTCATTAGTTTACAAAAATGCTCTCCTTTTTTCTTCCTGAAAAACAAATACTTTTTCTATCAAAATGTATGAAAACCACCCTAAAATTCAGGCAAACATTAACTAAAACACTTTCTGACAAAATAAATGTTTGCCATGAAAAAATACACCTTTTTGGTCAACACAGGTATTTGTCTTTGATAGTGACATCCACAGTGTTAATGTGGAAGTCAATTTTGTATAGATTGTAAAATGTGGCGATTTCTTTATACCAAAGGGAACCACTACTATTTTTGCGAAAGGCAAGGGATTGATGAAGTTGTAATCCATATTTCTTTTCAATATGAAGTGGAGGTGAAAATCCAGGCTTCAGGGAATGGAGTAAAATGCTCAACAGCTTTACTGGAGATATAAAAATAAATAATCATAAAATCGTAGAAAGTTTGGGTTGGAAGGGACCTCAGGAGGACATCTATTCCAAGCCCCTGCTCAAAGCATGAGCATCCCTGACTGCATCAACCCATCCAAAACATTGTCTAGCCAGGTTTTGAAACCCATAAAAATATAAAAAATGATTAACTTTTTATATTTTATTTTGATAATTTTAAGGTTTTAAGCTGGTGAGGAGTTTCCTAATACCAAAAAACCAAAGTTTTGTTTCTGAAAGAATTATAAAGACTGACAGACTGAAAGGAAAACAGAAGCCCAGACAGAAGAGATCACTGTATGTGATTTCTGATGGTGCAGAGTTGGAGAAATATCTCAGAAAGCTTAAATGAGTAGGCAAAAAAGTGGCAGTGATCTTGAACACTGATTGCAGTCCTGGTCTTCAGATCACAAAATGGATATAGTAGAAGTGAAAAAAAAGATACAGAGAAAAACAAACAAAATGGTCAGGGGTATGGAGTACCTACTGTACTAAGGGAGACTGAAGAGGCTTTGGCTCTTCAGTTTGGAAAGAAGAAGGCTGGGGTGGGCGGAGTATAATAGAGGTCTATAAAATCATATGGACATGATGAACAGAGAGAAGTTATTCAACAAGTCATAGAATACCAGAGCTAGGGGACACTACTAAAGTTAGCAAGAGACAGGTTTAAAACTAACAGGAGAAAATACTTTTTACACGGTGCAGTTAACTTGCAGAACTCATTGCTACAGCAGGCTTTAGTGGTGGATAAAACAGTCAGGTTCAAAAAGGGACTAGACATATTCATGGATGGTAGATCTATAAATAGTTATTAAATGGAACAGTCAGAGATGTATCCCCTGACATCTCTAAACCAATAATGGTAGATGCCAAAGAGGGTAAGATCAGAGGAGAGATCACTGTGAATATACCCTGATCCTATGCTGTGAGGACTCTCAGTTATAGATTTAGATTGGATAGGATGGAATAATTACAACAATATGTAGGATTTACTATCCCAGCTTTAAGACTGGTATTATGTCATAAGCAACATGATAAATTAAGCATTTAACTTGATATATAAATACTTTCTCCCCCTCAATTAAGATATCAAAAATTTATTTTAATTATATTTATTTATTTATTTACTTATTGAATATATGGTCAACTGCATTCTATGCTTCACAGACAGCATATATTTTACACGTTCTATATATTCAAAACTCAATTATAGATTAGAAGGGGAAGGCAAACATAGGTAAATCAAAGTCAAAATGTAGTAGTGTTGTTTTTCGAGCAGAGGTTGGACATTTTGATGTATCCTTAAGAAAAAAGAAAAGAATATACGATAACAGCTTATTTATGGTCAAAATAAGCACTGGAGCTATGATTTCTAAGAGGTTTCTAAGAAAAAAAATAACTGTATACACACTACTCAAAGGCATTTTGGAAGGTGCTTAATTCTTTTTCACTTCTCCCAAATCACATCCTAGGATTCCAGTCATCTGGAAACTTATATGTTGGTCTCCAAAATAAGTATTTTACTTGTAACTAGCCTGATGGCATACATTATATATTTATGAACTGAAATTGAAACTGCATCATTAATATTTAACATCTTCTTTAATATTACATTTTTTTCTTTTGATGCTCCTAGTCAAGCCACATGGAAAAAGCAGAAGAGAATCAAACAGTCATCATGGAATTCATCCTTGTGGTATTCAGGATTATTCCTGAACTGCAGCATCTTCTCTTCCTGCTCTTTCTAGCAATCTACATTGCAACGGTATCAGGGAATCTTCTCATTGTTGCATTAGTAGTAAATTATAAGCAGCTTCATACACCCATGTATTTCTTCCTAGGCAATCTATCCTGCATGGAGACCTGCTATACTTCTGCCATCCTGCCCAGGATGTTGACCACATTCTTCACAAATAAACATGTCATCTCATTAAATGGTTGTTTCTTGCAATATTATTTCTTCACCTGGCTGGCAGGCGCTGAGTGTTGTCTCTTGTCAGCCATGTCTTATGACAGATACCTAGCAATATGCAAGCCCCTACATTATGCAAGTCTTATGAACAGATTCTGTTTGCAACTCGCACTTGGGTCTTGGATGAATGGGATGGTGGCTAGTGCCATTGTGACCTCTTTGATGCCACATTTAATCTTCTGTGGCCCCAATGAAATTGACCATTTCTTCTGTGATTTCACCCCAGTGGTGAAACTTTCCTGCAGTGACACCAGCATGATTGAGCTTGTTACTTTCATCCTGGCTTCCATATTCACACTGCCACCATTTTTACTGACAGTCATATCATATATTTGTATTATTGCCACTATCCTGAAAAATGCCTTTTGCAACCAGGAGGAAAAAGGCATTTTCCACCTGCTCTTCACACCTTATTGTGGTAACAATTTTTTATGGCTCTCTAATCACTGTGTATCTGTCACCAAAAACTAACACATTGAGAGACCTCAATAAGCTTTTCTCTGTCTTCTACACTGTCCTGACTCCCATGGTCAACCCTCTCATATATAGCTTGAGAAATAAAAATGTAAAGGATGCTTTTGCAAAAACTGTGAGCAAATGTGTTGCCTTAATGAGAGATCAAAGAATCCACAGTGATTGTTAATGAAATATAAGTGACTGTATCTGAATGAATGAATCGGAAACACAGATTTGAGTTCCTAACCCCGATGTAAGAAATAGGGGCCACATATAGACCATTAGGTCAACTATTTTACCTGGCAGGGAACAGAGGAGGGAGAAGGAAGCAAAACACAAAAAATAAAATAAAAAATAAATAACATTCCAGACATAAGAGTATTTGGACCAAGGAACAAGCTGGCCAAGGAAATATTTGGATCTTCTTCCTGGAGGTTTCCAAGAGGAGGTTGGAATTGAAAAAAAAAATAAGCGTCTGTCATGGAACTGTTCCTTGTACAACTCAGAATCACTCAGAAATTATGCAGTTCTCTCTTTCTGCTGTTAATAATAATCTACAGTGTGACCATCAGTGAGAATTTCATCATAATTTTAATATTATAAAAGCCTGTCTGTCTGTCTGTAATGCTTTATTCGCGCTCTGATTGGTTGACAGAAACAGCCAATCAGAGTGCTCCAAGCATAGGGGAGCACCACCATGATTCCAAAGCCATGCCTAGGGCCAGACAGGGGGTGGGGGAGCTGGGGCCAGCACCCCTTTTATTCACCCCACTCCCTACAAGAGGCACTGCAGCAGCAAAGGGCATTAGGTGGTGGCACTTCATCCCAGGCCCCTCCCCCCATCATTCATGATGGGGAATTGGCTAGTTGTAATAATAATGGCTGATCAACAGCTTCATGCTCCCATGTACTTTCTTTCTGGGGAATTTGTTCTGCTTGGAGACTTGTTGAACCTCCATCATTCTGCCTAAGCTGCTGCCCAGTCTCCTAATACCAAATTGAGTTATTTCTGCAGAATGTTATCTCCTTTCTCCTATACCTTACAATTTGTTTGGCCATTTTGGACAGAGTGGGAGCACTTGTGCCTCAGTGCATGTGTGCCCCCTGGACTCATCTACAGCAGTGGTGGAGGCGGCGGCAGGAGAAGACTCTTAAGGTAGGTGGGGCAGAGGCGGAGGGATGGCACAGCTGCAGAAGATCCAGAGGGGGAGCCCCCTGGAGCCCTCTTAAGTGAGCTGGCAGGGAGCCATGCTCCTGAGCCACGTGTGTGAACAGAGCACGCAAACATATGTGTTCTGTGGGGCACAGTCAGGGAGCAGGCTAGGGCAGGGAAATTTCCACTGGGTGAGAGGGCACAGCCCAGAGACTGATCCCTAGGGCAGCGGTCTTGGCCATCCAAGGAGCCAGGGCTCTCCCTCTTGGGAAGGGAGTCACAGCGAGTGGGGCAGCCAGCAGACACTTCCGGGGAAGCCCGGAAAAGCCCTAATTGGCTGATTCATCTCAGAGCCACCTGATTGGCTGCCGAGTCAGCCCTGGGAAATTCAAACAGCGGCCCTTAAAAGCCGTGGTTTAGTCAAACCCCAGGCAGTTGGGTCTTGAGGACAGAGTGGGTGTACATGTACCTTAGTACACGTGTGCCCCCTGGACTCACCTACAGAAGCGGCGGAGGTGGCACAGGAGAAGACCCTTAAAGTAAGTGGGGCAGAGCTGGAGGGCCAGCACAGCTGCAGAGGGTCCAGAGGGAGAGCCCCCCAGAGCCCTCTTAAGTGAGCCAGCAGGGAGCTGCGGTCCCAAGCCGCGTGTGCGAACAGAGCGTGCAAACAGGTGTGCTCTGTAAGGTGCGCCTGCATTTATGCAGGCGTTCATGAAAGGCAAGTGCACAGAAGGAGTGAACAAGAAGGAGCACCCAACATGACAAAATCAGTAACATCACCGCAAGGATTCCTAAATGCATCAAGCCCTCCGACTACAACCCCATGGTCCTTGTCCATGTGGGCACTAATGATGCAGCTAGGAGGAGTACTGACCACATCATGAAGGACTTCCATGAGCTGGGGGTCAGCCTCAGAAAGTCAGGGGCACAAGTGGTATTCTCCTCCATCCTTCCAGCTGGCAGCAGCCGAAAGCACCAGGATGCCTGCATCAGGGAAATCAACTGGTGACTCCAGAGATGGTATCTTCAGGAGGGATTCAGATTCTGCAACCACGACCAGCACTTCCAGGGAGAAGGCTTCTTAGGATGGAATGATCTTCATCTCTCTCCTAGAGGTAAGTATCTGTTCTCTCACAGGTTGGCTGATCTCTTCCGAAGAGTTTTAAACTAGGTTCAACGGGGGATGGGGAACCAGTGGTTGATGAGAACCCAGGGTTAGAAAGCCACAAACAAGGCACTGGACCTAACCAGGTAAGCACTAAGGGGACCACTAGACATCAAGGCAAAGGGACACAAAGAGAACCCACTGGGGGACTAAAATGTCTTTACACATGCCAGGAGTATGGGGAACAAGCAGGAGGAACTCGCACTCCTGCTTTTAGCACACAATATGACCTAGTCAGCTTAATGGAAACATGGTGGGATTCTACTCACCACTGGGTGGTAGGCATTGTGGGGTACAGGTTGTATAGACGAGACAGAGGGGGAAAAAAGGCAGGAGTGTAGCTCTCTCTCTTAAGGAGCAGTAGACATCTTCCGTCATCAAGGCAGGAGTGGAGGAGAGAAATACTGAGGCACTGTGGGTCAGGATCCAGGAGGGACCAGGGGAAAAGGACTTGGTAGTGGGAGTCTACTAAAGACCTCCTCACTGGGATGATGAGCTATTCTCCAAGCAGCTTGCAGATGCCATACAGGAGAGGGAGGCAGTGGTCATGGGGGACCTAAATAACCCTGACATCATTTGGGAGGAGCAGATGGCCAAAACAAGCTGCTCAAGGATGCTCTTACACTGTGTGTAGGACCTCCACCTAACCCAGATAGTATCCAGTCCCACCAGGGGTAGCGCCTTTCTCAACCAGGTCTTAGCAACAGGGGATGATCTTGTGGGGGACCTGTGGGTACACAGTAACCTGAGTGATAGTGACCACCACTTGGTAGAGTTCATTATCCAGTGAAGGGTGAGAAAAATATCCAGTGATGCAAAAGTTTTAGATTTCAGAAGGGCCAACTTTAATAAACATAGGAACCTAGTTAGTGAGGTGGCCAAACTCAAGAGCATTGGGCTAATGGAGGTCCAAGAGGGTTGGAAGTTTCTCAAGGGAGTGATCCTTGGGGCACAAGAGGAGTCTATCCTCTTATGCGGGAAAGGGGCTAAGGGGATAAAAAAGCCCCCTTGAATTAACAGGAAGCTTAAGGAAAGACTGGGGGCAAAGAAAAAGATGTATAGGCAGTGGAAGCAGGGGGCAGCCACCAAGGAGGCATACACCACCCTGGCCTGCTATTGCAGGGAGTCAGCTAGGCAGGCCAAGGCAGGATTGGAGCTTAGGCTGGCTACAACAATCAAGGACAATAAAAAGTCCTTCTACAGATACATAGCAAGCAAAAAGAAGGTGCAGAATAGCATAGGACCCCTGCAGGACAAATCAGGTCAGTTGGTAGTTGATGCAGACAAAAAGGCAGAGCTCTTCAGTGACTTCTTCACTTCAGTATTCCTTAATACTGACCAAGACAATCCCCTCACCTTGAGCATAGACAGATGTCCAAAAGGCACCAGACCACCAAAGGTTAGTGTTGACTTAGTTAAAGAGAACTTGGAAGGGCTGGATGGGCACAAGTCACCAGGCCCGGATGACCTCCATCCATGGGTGCTGAAGGAATTGGCCAGTGTCATTGCTGAGCCACTGGCACGGCTCTCATGGTGCTCCAGACAGGTCTGTGAGGACTGGAAAAAGGCCAACGTGGTACCCATTTTTAAGAAGGGGAGAAGGGAGGAGCCGGGTAACATTAGGCCAGTCGGTCTTACCGCTACCTGGGAAAATATTAGGAAAAAATCATCAAAGAGCGTATTTATGAAAGCCCAGAAGGGGAAACGATGCTGAAAGGAAACCAGCATGGGTTCATCACAGGTAGATCCTGCCTGGCAAACCTTATAGCCTTTTATGACCAGGTCACACACTACCTTGACACAGGAGCGGAAGCCAATGTCATCTACCTGGATTTTAGGAAGGTCTTCAACACAGTTTCACATCCTATTCTCATAGGGAAGCTAATGGGCTGTGGAGTGGATGCCTACACAGTCAGGTGGGTGGCTAACTGGCTTAGGGACAGCACCCAGAAAGTGGTGGTTGACGGGTCATTCTCGGCCTGGAAGGAGGTGGGCAGTGGGATCCCGCAGGGCTTGGTCCTTGTACTGGTGTTATTTAATATCTTCATCAGCGATTTGGATGAGGGTGCGGTGAGCACCCTCTCCAAGTTCACGGATGATACCAAATTATGGGGCAAAGTGAATACACCAGAGGGCAGGGAGCAGTTATAGCCTGCCCTTTACAGGTTAGATCAATGGGCGGAACATAATAGGATACAACTCAACAAAGATAAATGTAAGGAACTCCACCTAGGAAGGAGGAATCCCCAGCACACCTACAGGTTGGGGGATGACCTCCTCAGCAGCTCAGAGGCTGAGAGAGATCTTGGAGTCATAGCTGACTCCAAGATGAACATTAGCTGGCAGTGTAACGAGGCCATCAACAAAGCCAATCTCACCTTCTCATGTATTAACAGATGCATGACCAACAGATCGAGGAAGGTGATGCTTCCCCTCTATGCAGCATTAGTCAGGCTGCAGTTGTAATACTGTGTCCAGTTTTGGGCGCCACACTTCCAGAGGGACATGGAGGATCTGAAAAGGGTTCAGAGGAGGGCCATTCGCATGATTAGTGGTCTCTGTGAAAGACCCTATGAGGAGAGGCTGAGAGATCTGGATATCTTCAGCCTATACAAAAGACAGCGGAGGGGTGACCTTGTAGACACCTGTAATAGCGGCGCACCACCACGGGCATGAAAAGAGGCGAGGGAAGGCTGCGGGGCATACAAAACCCTGGAACAGAACCCCGGAGGGGGTGACTTACCTCCGGGAGACCCGGCAGTGCTGGAGCCTAGACCGCGGCAGCAGCTGCAGCTACAGCCACGCAAGCCGGCATTATGCTGGCTATTTAAGCAGCTGTTCCCAGTGAGGGAGACAGCTGAGCCAATCT